GCCATGGGGCCTGCCCAACTCTTATACCTATTTTTTTTTGGAGAGGTTTTTGCTATAGGGCGTGTGTACTCACCAGACAGACAGAGAGAGACAGAGAGACAGAAAGCGAGAAATTACCCCCCAGGGGGGATGGCCACGCCGCAATCCCTTCTCCTCCATTCTCCTCTCGGGATCTTGGGCACGCACGCACATGTGCCTGGCGTGAGTTTAAGCCATCGGGTCTAGGACTCGAACCACGGTTGACTACGTGTGAGTTCAGCGACATAGCCATTACGCTAACTGCTGGTCCCCCCAACCCATATACTTTTAAAATTGAGAATTAAGAATAGAAAATTATTTAGGTTTTACTAATACAGTTAAGTAAATAATAAGGGAAAGGAGTAGGACAGTAAGAGAAAGAGATAAGAAATAACAACAGGGAGGAAGAGAGAGATTAAGGTGGAGAGAGAGATAGGAAAAGAAAGAGGGAGCGGGTGAGGGATGGATAAAGAAATTTAAGAGCAGGGACCAGCAGTTGGCATAATGGCCATGTCGCTGGACTCCCATGTGGTCGACTGCGGTTCAAGTCCCAGACATGGTGGCTTGGACTCACGATGGGTGCATGTGCGTGTGTGCCCAAGATCCCGAGAGGAGAATGGAGGAGAAGGGATTGCGGCATGGCCATCTTCCCTAGGGGGTGATTTCTCGCTTTCTGTCTTTCTGGCGAGTGCATGCACTCTATAGAAAACAAAAGCCTTTCCTTAAAAAAAAGAAAGAAAGAAATTTAAGAACAGAGAATGGGAGAGAGAGCAAAGGGAAGTACACCTGGAGAAGGGGTAGAGGCAGACAAAATTAAGAGTGTGATTTCATTCCAGATACACACACACACACACACACACACACACACGTACACAAACCAGAAAGGGACCAGCAGGCTATGTTGTTGGACTCCCACCTAGTCAACCACAGTTTGAGTCCATCCCAGGCGTGTGTGTCTGTGCGCGTACCCAAGATCCCTAGAGGAGAATGGAAGAGAAGGGATTGCGGTGTGGCCATTCACCCAGGGGGTGACTTCTCACTTTCTGTCTCTCTTATCTCTGTCTTTCTGGTGAGCACACGCACCCTATAGCAAAAATCTCTCAAAAAAATATAAACAAACAAAAAAACAACAACAAGATCTCCAAAGATCTGGATTCTAAATATACAAAACTGTTTATCAAATACAAACACACTGAAAGAGTCCTCTGAGGCCAGAAATGAAACTAGGATGGCTACTCTTTACCACTTCTGTTCAGCCTCATACTGGGGATCTTAGCTGGAGGAGTAAGGCAAGAAAAACAAAAATAAAGAAATAAAATAAAACTTATTGTTTGTAGATGACATGATTCGTTGCACAGGAAACAAAAATGAAAATCCCAAAGTGACTTTAGCAAGGTCTCTGGATAAGGTCAGCATATAAAAATCACTTGTATTTTTATATACAAGCAGAAATAAAGAGAAGTAGAAATTTATAAAACATGTTTTATGATAATATTTTTAAAAAACCTCGAAGATGATTTTCTTTTATATTTTGGCAAGGTATTTACTATAGGGCATGTGCACTCTCCAGAAAGACAGAGACAGACAGACAGAAAGCAAGAAATCACACCCCGGGGGGGATGGTCATGCCACAATCCCTTCTCCTCCATTCTCCTCTCGGGATCTTGGGCATGCATGTGTGCGTACCTGGCGTGAGTTTAAGCCACCGAGTCTGGGACTCAAACCGCGGTCGACTGCATGGGAGTCCAGTGACATAGCCATTATGCCAACTGCTGGTCCCAAAGATGACTTTCTAAGCATCATTTTTCTTCAGTGTGAAATTAGGGCCACAGCAACCATGATAACAATAGGAGCAGCTGGAGTTAACTGAGCACCTACAATATGCCAGATGTCATCCTAAGTGTTTACATGGGCGATTTCTTTTAAGTTTCACAACAGCCCTTTAATATGGGCATTGTATGGATGAAGTAAGGTAATATATGTAAAACATTTAACAAATTGCTCTGCATATAATAAATTCTCAATAAATTCTAACTACACAAAAATAATCATTTTAGAGCGACTTCAACTCATAGAACTAAGCTGTTAGTGTAATGACTATGTCACTGGACTTGCATGTAGTTGACTGCGGTTCCAGTCCTGGACCCCGGTGACTTAAACTCACCCTGGACACATGTGCATGCATGCCCAGGATCCTGAGAGGAGAATGGAGGAGAAGGGATTGCGGTGTGGTCATCTGTGTCTTTCTGGCGAGTGCACATGCCCTATAACAAAAACCTCTCATAAAAAAAAAAATAAATAAAAGAAGCTGGTGTTCATTTGGCTTAAGATTTATAGAATAGGTAGTCACATATTAAAAAAAAATTTTTTTTTGAGAGGTTTTCGCTATAGGGTGTGTGCGCTCGCCAGATCGAGAGAGACATACAGACAGAAAGCGAGAAATCACCCCCCAGGGGAGATGGTCCTCCATTCTCCTCTCGGAATCTTGGGCACACACGCACACGTCGACTATGTGGGAGTCCAGCGACATAGCCATTATGCTAACTCCTGGTTCCCAGAAAAATTTGAGGTAACTTGCTGATTTATTTATTCATTCAGGCACTGCTCTTTGGTCTAGTAATACAGTGGGTAAGCAAAGTAGGCAAAGCCCATGCCCTAATGGAGAAACACGACATTACTTCAGTGATTTCATGGATTGTGGTATGAGACTAAACACACAAATACAAGGCCTTATGAGAGCATAGAAAGGGGGCATCTAGTCTGGACTAGAGAATGAAGAAGGCCTGACAGTTGGCATAAGTTCTGAAGGATGAATGGAACAGGGGCCAAGGGTCAGAGAATGTTCTATGCAGAGGTAGAGCCATGTGTCTGAAGGAGGTGAGAGTTGGGGGTAGAGGGAGAGTATGGCATGTTTCGTGAACTGCAAAAAATGTCTGAGTGACTGGAGTTCAGTGAAGGAGAAGAGAGGGGTTTTGTATGAGCTATCACTACAAAGGAGGACAGGACAGGTGATCGGGACCCTGGGAGCCTTGTTGAGCATTGTCACAGTTATTCTAAGATGGGCACACTGTGAGGCTTTATGAAAAGGAATAGTCAGATTTGTGTTTTGAAAATATTTCTCCACTGAGATCCTAGAGAGATGGGAAAGTAGGCTGGGCGAGGCATCATCCATGCAGGAAGAACTAGCGTGTGTATCTGAGAGATGTTTAAGGGGTAGAATCGATGTGGTTCGGCTTTAGCTTCAGTGAAGGAGAAGAGTTGCCCACTGATGCCTCATCTTCTGATCTGACTTGCGGAACTGAGTGACAGAGTGTGACAGTCACTGAGATGAGGCAGTCTTTCTTTACTGTGAAGTAGCTTTACGAACTTTGTATTGGAACTTGACACAGTGTGTTTGAAGTATTTATTTTTCTGTGGAAATGTGAATGATTCACATACGAGGAAAGGAAGGGCAGGTTTGGGACACTCATTTTAGCAGCTCCTTGTAGTCCCTTTGAGTTTCAAAAGATATCATATATTTAGTCTTTTTAAAAAGAGCAGGGATATCAAACTTATTAATTCCTGAAGTGTACATTTAGAATCAATTTCCTGCCTTCTGCCTCCATCAGATCTGTTCTTTCAGTGTGAAAAACTGGATGGATTTAGTGCAGAAGTTTGTGTCTTCAACTTCTTTTTTTTTTTTTTTAATTTAAAGAAATTTTTGCTATAGGGAGTATGTGCTTACCAGAGAGACAGAGAGAGACAGAGAGACTGAAAGCAAGGAATCACTGCCAGGGGGATGGTCACCCTGCAATGCCTCCTCCATCTTCTGTTAGCATTTTGGACATGCTAACCCACACGCACCCAGCATGAATTTTAAGCCACCGGGTCCAGGACTCGAACCACAATCAACACATGGGGGTCCAGCAATGGAACTATTACACTATCCGCTGGTCCCAACTTCTTAAAATCTAAAATTAGCCTTTTATGGATTTTAATCACCAAGTAGATCATAGAGTAGTGAGATATAAAGAAAGAGTTCTTGGAATTAGAACAGTATTATTCCATCTGATGATTGTAAGACTAGGTCATTTTAAGATCTAGCTGCCCTGAAGTTCTCTGCTTCTTGTGTGCAGTGTCTTTGGCAGGCATATAGGGCTAGAAAAGACCCTCAATGTTTTTATTAAAGGCTTCAATAAATGCTGGTAGTGCTTGAAGTTGATATGAACAAACCCATAAGAAGGCCCTGGAGTTGACCCACTGTCTCCAGAACTGATTAGGACTCTCTGAGCCTTGGCATATCCTCAAAGAAGGAGGTCTGAGGTATATCAGAACTGGGACCTTCTTAACCCTCTGCCACTGCTATGTAGCAGAAGCTATCCTTTGGACCCCTTGAAGGGAAGAGAAGCCAGTAGTGGTATAGTTAGAGGGGAATGTGGAAATAGAGGACAGTCCCACAGTCTTACCCTTTGTTTAGGTACAGGACTGGGGGTGGGGTGTGTGGCTGATGGTGTATGTGCATGTCCACACATGTGCACGCATGCTCACTTATCTCAGTTCAAGTGGTAAGCTCTCTTTCTCTTTTATTGGGGGGTGATTTTTGCTGTAGGGCACGTGTGCTTGCCAGAGAGACAGAGAAACAGAGAGTGAACATGAGAAATCACCCCCTGGGGGGATAGCTATGCTGCAGCCCTTTCTCCTCCATTTTCCTGTTGAAATTTTGTGCACACACGCACACATGCCAGGCATTGAGTTTCAAGCCACTGGATCTGGGACTTGCACCGCAGTTGGCCATGTGGGAGTCCAGTGTCTTAGCCACTATGCTACCTGTTGGCCCATTTGAATGGGAACAGGTTTACATGTCCTGCCTGAGTTCTTGGCAGCTACTAGACTACAAGGCCAGCATGGAATCTGAGCACGGGCCCTCTTGTGGGCTAGGTGTCTTTTCTCCCTCCTGCTTTCCCAGCCACAATGCCTGACTCTCCCCTTGTCTCTTCCTACAGCACTCCACTTCAGTGAGCATCATGGGCTTTTCCAACACTCTGGAGATGGAATTGTCGTCTACCAGGCTGGCAAGAACCCTGGAGCCACAGATCCAGAGTGTGAGCAGCCTGGCAGCTGGCCCCCCCAAGGTGGTACCAAGCCTGCTGGGTGGCTCCCCTCAAACTGTGTCCAGCCTGACAAGTGTTCAAAACCAGGCTGTGCCCAGCCTGACAACCAGTCATCTACAGACCATGCCCAACCTTGTGCGTGGCACGTTCCAGTCCATGCCCAGTCTCCTAAGTGATTCCCCCCAGGCCATCCCAAGCCTGGCAAATGATCACTCTCAGCCTGGGCCCAGCCTACTATCTGGTCATGCCCAGGCTGGGCCAAGTCTGGCCACTTGTCCTTTACAGAACACACCTCCGGTTTCTGATGTGCAGTCAGAAACTGGATCCAGCTCCTGTCCTGACCGTGGCCGAATTGCAGGGAGCCTGTGCCCTGGGGATGGGGCTGACCCCTCCCTGGGGAATCCCCTATGTAAGGTAAGTCTTGGGAAGTGCCATTCAACTTCCTAGGCTCATCATTGGGCAAAAAGTTGGCCACTAACAGCCTGTGTTGGCCTTAGCATAGCAAGTCCGGGACTGCTAATGGCAAAAATGTCTGATTTCTTTGCTTCTTGTTGACCTTTCACTTTTGAAAGTTGGAAAGTGAGGATTCCACCCGCTTCACTGACTCACTGGGAAAAGGTCCTACAGCCCCTGGTCTGGATGCTCCCAAGGACTTGGCTATCCCCTCTGAACTAGAGGAACCAATTAACCTCTCTGTGAAAAAACACCCACTGGTGTCAGTGGTCAACACTTCCACGGCTCTGCAGCAGTACCGGAACCCAAAAGGTGAGACTCAAGAAAGCAGCCAGCGTTTCACGTGGGCCACAGTCTCGGGCAGATGGACTCAGCACTTCCAGGTGAGGTAGACACCAGCAGGCAGGTTCTGAGCCTGGTGGAGCCGAGCATCTCCCTGAGGCTCTCCTCCAGAACTGCCTGTGACTGACACTCACTTTGCTTCCCTCACTGTGACCACAGCTGATCCTTGTAGCCTCCCTGTAACATGCCTCATGTGAAGGGTCCTAGGGATCTGAGTTATCTGTTGGGGGGGTAGGAAGGACTCATGTAAGGGGCTAGCCTGACCAAGTGTAAGAGGGAACAGAGCATGTCTGACTTTGCAGTCAGGTCTAAGTTGGAACACCAGCTCTGTGCTTTGTTTTGTCCTGTGTGAGATGCCTACCTTCACTGAGCTGCTTTCTTCCTCTGTAAATGGCTCAGTCATCCTGATTTCATAGGCTACTGGGACAGATGAGTACAGTGAGATCATTTGATACCTTACTCTGTGGTAGCAGGGATTTTCCTTGTATCCGGCACAAAGGGGCATTTGTATTGTGCCTCGTAGTGAAGTGAGTGTGCACCACTGGAGGTTCTTCTCAGCCACCACGTCCCTTCCCAAACCAGGCTGGGCCGAGGTTTGTTTCTTCTGTGGCAGGTGAGGGCTGGTCAGGAAGTCAGGGAGTCAGTACATAGTGATCTTGGGGACATTTTCAGTTCTGTGTACGCTGTGCGTGTACTTTGTAGCTGATAGTCTTTTTTCCTATATATTCAATGAGTGGGGGAAAAAAGTGATATTTTTTCTTCTTTTTTCCTTACACTGACTAAAACACCACCTGAAAATCTCCTGGTTCCTGTTACACACGATAACGTAACCCCACATTTTATGCATTTAAACTGGCCCATGTAAAGTGTCTGGAATGGTGCCTGCACCTGAGCACGTTGCTCAGTAAATGCTGGTTCCCTCCTTTCCCCCACCATTGCCTCCTGCTCATCTATGTAGACCGTGCCACTCTGGGCAGGGGTGGGGGGCTCCGGGGAACCTGTTGCCAGCAGTGTGTGCAGTGCTAGAATGCCAGCACTTCGCTGAAAAGGCAGAGACTGGACAGAATGACTCCTCAGAGCAGACTACCCCAGGGTACTGGGAACAAGTGAGTTCTGAACTCATTTCGAAGGTGAGAAGCTGGTCACTCAGTGCCTAACCCACACTCACCTGCCTGCAGCCTCTGAGTATTATCTGTGCTCATCTCTTTAAAAGAAGATGGTCATCCTCCTCTCTCAGGAGAACGATTACGACATAAGTAATAGCAGGTGTGGACCAGTTTGTGGCCAAAGGCTTGAAGAGCAGATATGAGTGCTTGGTGTAGGTGTCAGGGTATGTTGTCACCAGCATATGTCACAGGTATTTATTTGTCTTTTTCTTTAGAGTATGACAGTTTTGAACAAGGAGCCCGAGAGCTGGATACAAAAGTGAATCAGAGCATCAGGTAACAGACTCTTGTCCAACCTTCCCATCCCACCCTGCTTCATGACCTATGAGGCTGGCTCAAGAAGCAAGCATCCTCTGGGACCAGCAGTTAGCATAATGGCTATGTCGCTGAACTCCCGTGTAACTGACCGTGGTTCAAGTCCCAGACCCGATGGGTTGAACTCAGGCTGGGAACGTGTGCGTGCGTGCCCAAGATCCCGAGAGGTGAATGGAGGAGAAGGGATTGCGGTGTGGCCATCCCCCCTGGGGGGTGATTTCTCGCTTTCTATCTCTCTGTCTCTCTCTTTCTGGCGAGCACACCCGCCCTATAGCAAAAGCCTCTCCAAAAAATAAAAAAAGTAAAAAAGAGATAAGCACCCTCTATGACTTAACTGGAAGCAGAAGTTTGCCTGCCACTGTCTTATTCAACCCCAGACCCTGTGGTTGGGTGTCTGCGATGACTGGGGAGGACGTCTTGGCTCCTGTACAATGAGCATCTGCTTTGTGTGCAGTCTTCAGGGAGCTTCCTCCTTTGCTCAGAGCCTGCACCAAGGGCTTCACAGTTGCTGGTAGGGCTTGGCCAGGAAAGACTGTGTAGGATGGCAGAACATAGACATGCAGAAGGCTGGACTGAGGATGTCTTGATTAGCAGTTCAGTTGTAGAATTATGGATAAGCTCGACTTAGAGACTGGAGCCAAAGGAGGCTTACACTGAGACTCAGGGATGTCTCTATTGCTACAGAGCCTTCAACGGTGAGCCTAAAATTCCTTATGTGCGACTGGAGCGACTCAAGATCTGTGCTGCCTCCTCTGGAGAGATGCCGGTGTTCAAGCTGAAGCCGCAGAAGAATGATCTTTTTTGCTGATCATTGAGTGTGGCACTGAATCCTCTAGCATGTCCATCAAGGTACCCCTGTACTCTACCTTAGCCTTGAAAGTTGGCTCACCCCAGGAGCTTCTTTCTTGCTGCTGCTGCCAGAATTCTGGCCCTGGGGCCTTTCCTGAGTTTCTGCATGAGGCCATAGCTTGGCCAGACTCTGTCCCCTCCTGCGAGGGGCCTAGGAAGTGCATATTAGGAGTGAGCTGTCCCAGAAGTAGTGGAGCGTGTCTGGCACAGGTCGTGGAATAAATATTTCTCATAGTAGGTGTTCAGGGCCCATCAGTCCTACCTTCCCTTCTTCCTCAACTTGCCAGTGCCGTGCTCTGATGCTCAGGATTTCATCTCCCCAAGGTCAGCCAGGACAGCACGTCTGATGCCACACAGGCCCCAGGTCTTGGGGGAAGAAAGGTTACAGTCACCTCTCTGACTGGGCAGCGGCCACCAGAGGTGGAAGGCACATCTTCTGAAGAACACAGACTCATTCCTCGAACCCCTGGAGCCAAGAAGGGCCCTCCAGTCCCCATAGAGAACGAGGATTTCTGTGCTGTGTGCCTCAATGGGGGAGAGTTGCTGTGCTGTGACCACTGCCCCAAAGTCTACCATCTGTCCTGCCACGTGCCAGCCTTGCTCAGCTTCCCAGGGTGAGTTATACCAGTCCAGGGCTGTCACCAGCTAGCAGGGTTATCTTACAGGGCTTGTTAGGTCAGACAGGCCCTTAGAGCTCCCCGGGATGGGCTTACTCCCTTCTGGGCCTGCAGGAATTGTAGGTCTGTCAGTTAGTGGCACACAGACTGGTAGATGTTTGAAATTTGGCTGTCTTTCTGTCCTCTGTTCTTTGCTTCTTTGCATACACAGACTTGTCCCTATATGCCTGCCCCAGCCCCTTCCTTACTCCTACTTCTCTGAGTTTGCTGAATCCTGACTTACTGAATTTCTTTTAAGCTGTGATTAGGAAGCCATTCCCAACAAGACAGGGTTAGGGACTCAGTTTTCCATGCCATCAAACCCCATACCTGTCTCAGGGCAGAAGGACCGGGAAGTGGGCTCTGGTGCATCTGCAAGGCCTAACGTGGCTTCACCTGCCTGTGCAGGGGAGAGTGGGTGTGTACCTTGTGCCGCAGCCTGACCCAGCCTGAGATGGAGTACGACTGTGAGAATGCCCGCTACAACCAGCCTGGAGTGCGGGCACCTCCCGGCCTGGGCATGTATGACCAGAAGGTAGGGAGCGGTCTCTAGGAGCAGGGTTTTGTGCCTGGGGCAGCTTCCTCGAGCCTGTGTTGGCTGAGGCCTTTCAGAGAAAATTGAGAGGCCTTTCTGGGTGCCTTTCTTTTGGTCTGAGCCTGACAGCTCAGCCTGTGGGGGTTTGCATGCTTTTACTTCTCCCAGCAGTTTTCCTCTGGTCCTGGGAGCCTGGACTATGTCTTAGTATGGTGGCCAGCACCCTGTAGCCCAGAGCCAGGGTGTTTTCAGGGTCACCATCTTTCATTCTAACTGATGTGGGGCTAGAACAAAGTGACCCCATTGCTGATTCTGATTCCTGCAGAAGTGCGAGAAGCTGGTGCTGTCGTTGTGCTGCAACAGCCTCAGCCTGCCCTTCCATGAGCCCGTCAGCCCCCTGGTAAGCAGGCCTCATTGTTTCTGCCCGGGCACGGGGCAGGATCATGGTGTACCAGGGTGGGCTCAGAGCATGGTCAAGGAAGGTGGATGGTCCAGCGGACTATGATGGCCCTGGTGTCTCCAGCCCTCTCCCCAAACCGGCTGCTGAGTCAGACCTGACTCAACCAGTGATGCAGTCCTCCTTTTCCCTTTCTGTCTTCTCTCTCCATGCTTTTCTTCTCCTTGCTCTTCATCTGTCTCTTTCTGTTGTCACTTACATTGCAACTCATCCTCTGTCTCTTCTTCCTTTTTGTCTATGCCTTCTCTCTCCTGCCTTTGCCTCCTCTTCTCCTCCCCCAAGGCCCGGCATTATTACCAGATTATCAAGAGGCCCATGGACCTGTCAATAATCCGGAGGAAGCTGCAGAAGAAGGACCCGGCTCACTACACCACCCCAGAGGAGGTGGTGTCCGATGTGCGCCTCATGTTCTGGAACTGTGCGAAATTTAATTATGTATGTCTTGCCTGTTTCCCTCTTCTATTTCCTGGTGGCCCCAAGAGAGTTGTGGCTGGTGGGGATAGAGGGTCAGGTTTGGTCCTGGGCTACTGTAAGGACATGGGAGCAGATTCCTGGGACCTACTGTGGCACGTAGTTGAAAACTCTCTCACACTTGGGCCTCAGCATGGACTCAGCAGG